CTGGCACGAAGAAGCCAACCCGGACATTGATTTCAGAAACAAGATTGTGCAACTCAAAGATGCGCAATCAAAACTGAAACCAATTAAACTATATCATAAGTCTGGCTCTGACTCAAGTCTATCCTTTTGCTGTATGAGTTATCCAGCTTTTCGTTCGATGGTTTCTAAGAAAAAGTTGGAACAGGAAGTCATGTTGGTACTGGTAAAGAAAGCCGGTGAGTCTTCTTCTTCCTGTCCTCCGACGATTGAAAGTCTTCTTTCTGAATATAAGGATCTGTAGAAAGAACCCACCGGAATTACTGAACGTGCTATAAAGCACACCATTGAGATTATTCCGGGTAGTAAAATTCCCAAGGACTCTATCTATCGAATGTCTTCTAGGGAACTTGAGGAGTTAAAGAAACAATTGCAGGACCTTACTGACAAGGGATGGATTCGCCCTAGTTCATCTCCTTATGGAGCACTTGTCTTGTTTGTGCCCAAAAAGGAAGGTGAATTGCGTCTTTGTATTGACTATCGAGGATTGAATGTCGTCACTGTCAAAAATGCCGAACCACTCCCTCGCATCGACGATTTACTTGACCAACTACAGGGATGCAAGTACTTCAGTCAAATTGATCTGAAGTCTGGGTACCATCAGATCGGGGTGGAGCCCGCGGATCAACACAAGACTGCTTTCCGGACCAGGTATGGCCATTACGAGTTTATGGTAATGCCCTTTGGATTGACTAATGCTCCTGCTACATTTCAACGGTCAATGAACGAGTTATTTCGTCAATGGTTGGATCAGTTCGTCATCGTCTATTTGGATGACATTCTCGTGTATAGTAACACTTTAGAAGAACACGAGAAGCATCTTCGTTTGGTTTTGAGTAAGTTGCGACAAGACAACTTCAAAATCAACCCGAAGAAGTCTGAGTTCGCTAAGCCCGAAGTTTTATACTTAGGACATATAGTGAACCAAGATGGCCTCAGGCCTGAAGAAAAGAAAATATCGGCAATTAGAGACTGGCCGCAACCTAAGTCTGTAACTGAGTTACGATCATTTCTTGGCTTGGCAAGCTATTATAGGAAGTTTGTCAGGAACTTCTCATTGCTCGCTGCCACGTGTATATGATTGATGACGTGGCGGGCTGCGAGGTTGATGAGGCTGTTCTGATTCTTCGTCACTTCGGAAGGGGATCAAGACTGTGGTTATC